ACCTGCAGAACTCCTTTCCACAAGAGATTGGAACCTGCTACCTGAGAGAAGGCCAGATCCAATTGTTTCAGAGCAGAGCAAGCTCACGCCAGAGAAGCAGAGCTCAGGCCCATTCTCCGGGGGGCTGGTTGTACAGCTTCATTCTGGCTTGTGTCTGGCAGCTCTGGACTCTTTTAGCAGCTGTGTCTATTCACAGTGCCACTGGGGTACAGTTCTTGAATACTGATTAACTAAGAATGGGGGGAGGGAGGGGAAGATAAAGAAGATCTTGGGACCAGCCTTGGAATCTCAGAGAGACTCCTGGCATTTCTGGTGCAGCCTGGCTGTGCAAAACAGCATGGGAGCGGGGGTGGCGGCAAAGCCCTCCTGTAACCAACCCGCGTGCTGCAAACACACTTGTTCTCATATGCACCCAGAGGGGAACCAGACCGGAGCCTGGCTCCTTAGCTCCAAACACTCAGACTTCTACCACTTGATTCAAGAGCTCCCTAAGCTACCAGCAGATCCCCTCTCCGGGCCAGTCACTAGAGGGCAACATCTCTCTCCCAACACAGTCCTTAACTAACCCTAGCCCTGTTCTCACTGAGAAATTCCAGAAGCGCCTCCCATCATCGATCCAGCACCGGTGAAAAGGCTTGTGCATCCAGGGAGCAGAAGGTTTTATTACTGTGTCACCTGGACCCACAGACACCTGTGGCTGGGTTTACACTAAAGAATAGGACTGGGGGGGGTGGGGGGGAGGGGCTCTCTGCACAGCTGTAGCCTGCAGGAAAGGAACTAGATTGACTTCAGAGGAAATGAATTGGCTACTGGCACTGAAATCAAGAGGGAAACAAAACAAAAAGAGCGAGGAGAGAAGAGAAACTGAATTCCATCCGCCTCTAGCCTCCGGGCGGCGAGGCAAAGGGTCTGGAAGGAGGGCAAAGGAAGGGAGTTAGCAGATTCCTCTCTGGGATCCAGCACCACACTAGGGTCGAGTCACATGCCAAAAGGATACAGCGAGAGCTGCTGGAACACTAGAGGATGGGCCCCGGATGGAGTGGAGGAACTAGACACCAGCCTGCCTGGCTTCCTGGGCAAACCACACTGCTAGCAGGGTCCTGGCCAATGCCTTCCCCACTCATTTCCCTTCCCACTAGCCAAAATCTGACAGTCAGCAGGAAGCTGCCTCATTGCTGTGACTTCCACGCCAAGTCTGACTGCAGCTCCCCCAGGGCAGGATGATCCAGGCACCGGGACAGAGGTCCCTCTCTCCTGGTGTCACCTCTGGGAGTAGTTAATGCTGCCAGCTGTGGGGAGGCAGCGGTCTAGACACGGGAGGAGCAGCCACTTGCCCCAAGCCTGCAGGATCTCATTAACAATGACAATTTTGCCTGCCTGCACTTCCCCCTTTGGGCCACTAGAGGCTGCTGCGCTACACACACTGCAGTCAGCAGCGGTACCGGGTGTCCTGAGCTGCCCCCACACCCAGCCCACCCTGAGCTTGCAGCAGGGGCCTCCACCCTGGTGCAGGAAGTGAATGGAGGCGGCAGCTCAAGGCAGCCCCTTCCCGGTTGTGGCAGGGGCAGCTGCTGGAGCCTGCATAGGGCAGCGGGATGGAGCTGGGGCATTGTCCAGGGACCCCAGGCCCACACTGGCATGCGCTGGAGGCTGCATTTGCAACCTGTAAATCACCCCACCCCATGTGCACGCAGAGGGGGTGAGCAGGGAGAGTTCAAATGACAACCCCTCCCCCGCCCAACTCCCCCCATCAAACATAAGGATTTCGTTTAAATCTCCTGCCATTTAAGCCAACCTCACATTTCTGGAGGTTTCTGGGGGGGGACAGAAGCTCGTGAGTCAATCTCACGCTGACCGTGATGGCCCATCCCTCTCCCAAGGATGGCAAGCCCTTGGGCAACGCTGTTCAGTCCTCGCCCGTGTAACTGCAGAGGCGTCTGGCGGCCTCTCCTGCAGCAGCTCCTGCCCTTGAGGTAACCTGCTGAACACGGCTTTGTTCCCTGTGGCAGCTGAGCAACTCGCAGGCACCGACGCAGGAGCTCAGGGACTCTCAGGTTGGGGGCGACCCCTCCCCTGGCTCCTCCACATCAGCCCATCCCTCTCCTCCTGCAGTCAGGGGCTCTTCTCAGTACACCACCAGAGGGAGGGGATCTGCCCTCAGTGCTGGGAATGAGGCACCCTTGGGGGGGAACCCCACACTCCACAACACGTGGGGCATGGAAGGGGTTAGTTGAGAAGGATTGACAGCGCTGAGGGGTGGTATAGCCAGGGCAAGGCCTACTCCAGAGGTACTGCATTGTTAGAGAGTGGATCCTGCTGGACCACCCAGGAGACGTTCCACCAGGGAGGGAGCATGGACTGGTGGTCAGAGCAGGGGGCAGTGGGTCTGGCAAGCCCACCGCTGCCACCACTCATACTGCACCGCACCTCAGCTGTACGTCTGAGGATAATACCAGCTGCCTGGGAGATGTGAGAATTCACAGCTGTAAAACGCTTTGAGATCCTTGGGCGAGAGAGACACTATGGGCCAGACCCTCGCTGGGGTAAACAGGGCTTGGCTCATTGATTGGATGGGGGCTCTCCTGATTCACACCTGCTGGGGCTCTGGTCCATGAAGTGCAGAGCATTAGCGGCTAGACGCGAGGCGATGCAGCCACTCAGCCGCTGCCAGGACTGTGCGCTCTGCCAGGGAGAAGTTGGCTTTCCAGGTGCTCTTTGGGCACCCTCGCTAGCCTGTGTCCACAGCGCTCGCCATTGCCCCAGCTCGCGAGAGCTCAGTTGGTGCAACCACCACATCAGCCCCTCCCTCCCGTGCTCCGTCCCAGCTCCATGGCAAGGAAGAGCGCACGGAGACAGGGCACATCTCTACAGGAGGGGTGAACTGATCAGTCCTGCTATGGGCAGGGTGGGACTGACGAGGTGACCTCCCTTCCCCTCTAGCCAGGGCCGGCTCTAGGCACTAGCAAAGCAAGCACGTGCTTGGGGCGGCACAGTTCCAGGGGCAGCATTCCGGCCATCTTTTTTGCTTGGGCAGTTGCGCTCTCTGAGCTTGGGGCAGCAAATTTTTTGCTTGGGGCAGCAAAAAACCTAGAGCCGGCCCTGCCTTTAGCCACAGGAGAGGGAGTTTGTTTAGAGCATGAAGAGCCAAAAGCACTGAGGGCCAACTGCCAGTGTTCAAATCACAGCATTGTGAGGTCACACTGCAGCACGTATGTCATTGTTGCCATGACCACGGGTGGGTAATAAAGGAAGGACCAAGGGTTGTTAACCATATAAGTGACATAAAGTATTATGGAGGTGCCTGGTGGCGACTCCAGTTAAGGTTAAGGTTTTGTCTAAAATGGGGCATAAATTCCTGCTTTTCCCTATGAGCAGGTGGTTAACCAGTATGGATTAACCTTTACTATGAACTTTACTCAGTCAGGGAGTTAGGCTCCTAACTCCCATGGATTTCAGTGGGAGTTAAGTGCCTAAATACCTTTGAGGTTCTG